TTCAAAAGACACCCGGCCGCCCGCTTCGAAATTTGGTACCTGCTCCCTTTTATAGGGACGCTAGAGAAAGCGCCATTTAGGACACTTCTCAGAAAAGTTTCAAGCACGATGCTAGTTGTATAGCACCAAGTGCACAAAGTTTGACTTCGTTTTACAACGGCAAAAAAAAATACAAATAAGTAAAAATTACATTTTCTAGTTAAATCTTGATATTTGTTGTTAAATAATGATATGGGATATAATAATGATGTGGGATATTTGATGATTACCTAAAGAGATCTGAAACGCTTATTAAACTAATGATTAGTATGTGGAATATAACATTCCAATGAAAAAAATTAATATTTATTGATGCCGTGAAGAATTATTTAGCTTGACATTGTTTTATAATTACAAGATATGATAAATTAGGCTGGAGTTCAGAGAAAGAACAACTAACGATCTCCAAATAAGTTCAAACTGAAAAGACCTTAGGAGATAGGTGATATACTTAGCAGGTCATTTTTTCTATATTTATTCATATTGTAGAATTCACACGTATTGTAAGAAGTAAGTTATTTTCGTAAAACGAATTTTTCTGTTAAGGCTAAAATATTAGCCGTCTTCAGATGTTACATTTTATGCGTCTACCCTCGTCCAAATTCTTTAGATTTTGTTTATATGAACGGCGCGATAACGCCTAGAACAAGCGACCCTTTTAATAACCACAGGCACGGTTCCTGATGGCAAGAACTCTTTTATACAGGCAGTCTTTCGTAAGTCATCGATAGTGAAAAATATAAAAATCAGTTCAGTAATATTATTTACCTGTTTTGTGAAACTGTTTGTTTTGTTGTTTTCAATATACCTTAAACGTGAGTTATTTCACTGAGTGACCAATTTTACTTGGTTAAGCAATTGTAATTCATTTACGTTAATTATTATGAATTTTTATGATTATATTTCAATAAGTTTTGAGCACTAAGCGAGTTGACCCTTAATAGCTGCGATCCGGAAAAGATTGTAATATAAATCATAAACTATTATGTATTTATTCATTTCGTTATATTAATTTATTGGTGGTT